ACATTTGTTATATATAGCTTTGAAAAATGATCAATGGATCAGTATTTATCAATAATGAAAAACATCATGTAGTGTCTGTGAAACCCCCTAAAGACAGTTTAGACTGCTATAGATTCCATGTGATCATTTACTTTGAAACATGGCTCTGATTTCTTTGTCATGGACATTTCAGTTACTTTAATATGTTTTTATTCCTCTTATGCACCAGCGACGCAGTCTGGTATTTTTGCACACCAGCTACGAAACCTGAGAAAAGTTTTCCTCCTCGTCTTTTCCCACTGTTTACAACAGAGACGATGCTTTTACTTTACCCTGGTTCACGTGTGTTTGGAATTACATTTGCATGCAGCCTGCGCTCCTCGTCCCCCACATACTCGCACAGACACGCGCGGGTCATCATAGCTAACCCAAGACACAGGACCAATTCCCACCTAAAACCCAAATACGTTACTTCCTTTCTTGGTTCCAGTCCTGCAGAAGGCAGCGTTGAGTCGTTAGACGCTACTACACGCTCTTCGCCTTGCACTTACCTTAATTCCCCTGAAGATGGAGAAAACTCCACCTAAGTTACTTCCATATCTCTTATTAATGCTCCTGCTCTGATCCCAGCGCGCACCAAACGAGAGCATCCCAAAACCAAGAGGTGATTTTAAACTGTATTTTGCCTGGGCAGCGTTGGTTCCTCTCCTCGTCTGCACAGTCTGCAGCCGTGTGCTTCGCCCCTGCCTCTCTGTCTCCAAAAGCCTTTGGCACACTCGACTTGGCCTTTAAAATCTTTTTGCAGAACTTGGCAGAAAGATGTCCACCAGGATGAAGCACACAGGCGCGCAGACGCGCAGTTTTTTTTTGTCAAATCGAGAAACGAAATTTAGCAGAGTTTATAAGAATTAAGTAACTGCTGTATTTTTATTGTTGATTTTTATTTTAACACTCCATAATGGTGCGTAATTGTGCTTGACGTCAAACTCTTTTCTGTTTTGAGGCATTTAAATCTCACAAATACAAATGTATATAATCTATAGACGGAATACGGAATAAATTCACTATCGTAACTGTATATATATATATATATATATATATAAACTGTATATATATATATATATATATATATATATAGTTTTAAACAACGATATTTAAACTACCACATTTACCGTCGCTTGCGCAAACTCTGTGCCAAAACATTATTTTACTGTTCTGTAATGATGAACGTTGCATATTCCTTGCATTCGTGATCGTTTACAAGACTGAAACCGCTCATTCTGACTCCACTATCGTGATGCTGATCATCCCGGACCTGCACTTTGCTCACTGTGGATGCAGGTTAATGTTTGCCTCGCCCACAAAGAGACTCTACGATTGTTGTTTTTTTCCAGTGCCATTATGGCACATGATCCACCAAACTGCCTGTATGGTTGATGTTTGCCATGCCACCCCTGGACATGTGACCCTGACTGGCGCTGTTCAGTCCTGCAGTGCTGAAATGAAGCTCAGTGGATGGAGAAACCCTCATGGTTGCTAAAACACAAATAAAATAGACTACACGCACAACAGTGGGCCTTCAGTTCAGCTGGCAAAGACCGCAGTGTCTGTGACAGAGACGAGTTGAATGCTAATCTGATTTTGGCTTAAGTAGGCCTGTTCACTGTTGCTTTTGAGGAGGCCCCACACCATTAGTATTAAAACACTGAGATGCTCTGAAATATACATAATGTATTTTGAAGGGACTCTGGTTTACTCGTATAGATTGTATGGTATCGATTGATACCTAATTTGCATATATCAAGTTTATAATTACATTCGACCTTTCTATATAATATCAATCCCATTTAAGAGAGATGTATTTACATATGGAGATGTATATGATGAGGTTAGACTATTAAACAGATGCAAACCTCACTTGGCTCAATCTAATTTTGCAGTCCACCTATCTGGAGAACTGCAATGGCACAAACACTAGTCAAGTGTAGTCCATATTATGGGGAGATTTGATATTCCACATTGTTGGTATTTTCTCAAAACAGTCTAACTTGTTAGCAATTTGCATGGTAAAATAGCCTAAAACGTCTTTAAATGGGTTGATTTACCTAGATGGTCGTTAAAATCAACTTTGCTAGCGTAATTTGACTAAGTCTGTCATTCATAGGCTATTTTATGATGAGTGATCATGGCTGAATTCCTGTCGATATTATTTCAAGTCTTGCTCTTGACTTTATAGGCTCTTCACTTGTTCATTTAGTTTTAGTGTTGACAATGCTTAATTGAACATCAGCAGCTATGTCTAGTTTTGCTGACGCCTCCAAAAACTTTGTCTCGCTTGGAGTAACAAATGGGGTTTTTAATGACAATTGCATCGGACATACATAAGCCTCCACGTTCAGTCGCAGTAATAGTCTGAAAGAAGTTTTGTTTAGCAGAAAGTCCTGCTTAAAGGTTTGCACTCTAGTGAAAGCACCGAGGCAGCTCCTGCGCTTCTGCCGTGCTGCAGCGCCCTATTATAGGCTACCCCACGGTGGACGTGCATGGGACAGATGATTTCTGGGCTCTAATGGATACGGCGCTCCACCTCTGCTTCGCTATGAGGAAAGAGAAGTGCCTGAACATCGCAGCGATTGGGTAAATGAGCAAGTGAGAGAGTCGCTGAATCGATCGTAACTTCTAAAGCAGCTCGTCCTCGCCAGCACCACGCCGAAGACGAAGTGTGTGTCCCGCATGTCGGCCAGTTTTCTCAAACCTGGATCGCTGTCAGGTCTCCAGGAGTGAAGTGAAAAGGCTCAGGGAACGGCAAGAACAGGCGTCTTTTTCTTTTCCACCAACGCTGTAATTTCTAACGCTTGTTCGAAATGTACAGCCTAACGTCTGCAGTAAGTTTCAGCACGACACTTTTGCTCCTGATCAACAAACGCAGACGAAATCTGAACGCTCTCCGCCTCACCGCCTGAAAGTTTCTAATGTGCGTTTGGCAATGGTACGTGGAACAGAAACACACGTACACATACAGCACGTGCTTATTATCACTATTAATATTATTTACATTAGCCATACGAAGAGGTACGTGATAAATGTGCTTTGTGGACCGCTTGCAGGTTCTGCATGATATCTGAAGGTAAACACAGCGGCTCGGTGTTGCGAAAAGTCGCCTAAATCATGAGGTCGCCTAAATTCCCTCATAAAGTGTAGTTTAAAACTCACAAACGCTGACTATCGCATCGCACTGACAAATGTGACCACGCCGACGTGAGTGGGGTAGTGACTGTGAAATAAGATCCTGGGATTTATTTATTTATTTATTTTCTGACGCGAAAATCGTCCAATAGCATGGCTCAGAGAGCCCTAGCTTCCGGAACCTTGACCAATCAGAGCTGATCTTTGCTATAGGGGAAAAAAACACGGATAGACAGACGTGCACGTGCAGCATGTTAGGATGAGGGTGCACTTACTTACACACAACTGCATGCCAGTTTGTTAATGCACTTTAACTAACTAACTAACGGGAAAACAAGAAGACTAACATGCTTATAGCTGATTATTATACATACATGTTTTAAAGCTTCAAACTCGTGTAGTTCAGTAAGTCTCATTGCTTTGGTCAAAGAAGCAAATCAAAGTGATAAAAGTGATAATGCAATAAGTGATAATGCATTAATAAATAGTAATAATAATAATAACAACGATAATAATTATAACCCATCAGAATGTTTTGTATTCATTTTGTATGTTTTCCATCGCGGTTTCTCTGGCTATCACATGTCAGTGCATCCTGCACACAACTCACAACTGTGAGTTGTCTGAGTTCGGTGATAAGAAAGGAAAGAAGGACTGGATGGTGTGGTGTGATTTTGTGTCCAGTTGCTAGGGGGCGCACTGTTGACTTTCAGTAATCATGGAGAAATCGGGGCAGATCGCCAAATGCTGCACCTGAATGTGTGTATATAAACAGGCTAGTTCTGTTTCTTTATGACTGTCAGTGAATAGACATGAAGTAGGTGTTCTTAACTATAAGCATTGAAGCGTACTCGCTGTGGTTAAAGAGATATCACAATCTGACTTTACTTTTGAAAATGATAAGAATTTTTGTTGGGATAAACTGGACAACTTCCCTAATTTATGTGAAATAGGATTTTAAATATATATTGTATAGCAAATTGAATGAATGTGCTTCAGTCAATACATTTAATATTGACTCAATTGATAGACTACTGTATTTACTGACAAGCATTAATCTTTAATGCCACACCTAGGACCTGAAATTGAACCCAAATCTGCAGAAATTATCAATATTTAAGCGTCCTGCTCTCAGGTGCTGTATTAACAAGAGGCTTATATTGGGAAGATAATACTGGGGACATTTTGGCCTTCTGTCTAAGTTACCTAGCAGTGTTTCAAACTGCTAAGCCTCATCTTGATATTAACAATGAAATATCTTATCTAAGTGTTGTTTAGTTGTTGCATTGAGACTTAAACCGGTTCAATGTTGTTGGAGAGCAGAGCACAACTCTTTCCTAAATGTATGCCTTGCCGTATTCAGGCCTATGCAACCTTGGTTATGTAACATAAGCTTTGTTTCGGTATTTTCAGTACTTTTTTAACGTTTTTTTCTCAGTGTTCCAGACATCCAAGATCCAGTCTAATAACTCACTTTTACTGTTTAATGAGTTAAATACAGACATAGACATGTACTAAACACAAATATGTACAAATTTCCTGAACTATATATATACGTACTTATATAGATAGTTAAATATGGACAGAAAGATAGTTGCTTAATAAACACCACATGCACCTCTATTCTTCAGTGATTAATACACTTTATATACTATATATATATATACACACGCACACACATTGGTTTTTGCATATCATAAGCAAGTTGCCTACAAAGCCCAAACTCGGGTTGCTTCTCTCCGCGCGGGCCACACAAACCAACTGCAGCGCGTTTACTGTAGTTTTAGGTATGGAACAACTTCTTTAGCACACACGCTGCTGCCCCTGTGTGTGTGTGTGTGTCGCTGCTGAGGGCGCTGTGCTTCACTCTCCAGTTCGCGCGGAGGAGCGGAGCGTTTCCTCTCCGCACCGAAACACGGACGGACTTCGACCCCGCGCGCGCTTCACTTTCAGTCCCCCCTCTTTCTCTCTCTCCCTCTCCCTCTCTCCCTCCCTCTCTCTCTCCCTCTCTCTCTTTCTCTCTCTCAGGTTGAAACTAACGACTCTGGATCAGGTGCCGCCGGCTTTTTCGCAATAACACGCAGCCGCTCTGGGCTTTAAGGACACTATTACAGGACACTATTAGTATTATTAGCAGCATTATTAGTAACATCTCGGCATGCTGCTCCCTCCGCGTGTCGTAAATCCGGCTCGGTTTGCTCCACGCTGAACCTTCTGCGATGCTCGTTTCCCTCTCTGCTACAAAAACCGCTCGCGAGAGTCTGAAGTCCGGTTTGTTTTTCTTTCTAAATCTGTCCGGTGGAGTTTTTGGTTTGTCAGTTATTTTTTTTAAAGCTCTGACAATCTTTTTTTTTCTAAGCACACGATGAGTTTCAAGCCGAAATGACCCGCTGCTTTCCCCGCCGTGGCTTTTTAAAAAAATCTCTCTCTTGGTGCGAGTGAGCGAGTGAGGGTCTGAGCGCGTGCGCGCGCGCGTGCGTTTCCCCATCTCCAGTTCACGATGCCTTTGCTCAAAGTTCGGAGCGTTTGTGAAGAAGGGACTGTCGCGGCGCCGCTTTAACGGAGCTCGGTCCATGTTTTTTTTTTTTTCCTGCGGACCGCGCGCGTACGAGTGTGTGCGTGAGCGAGTGTGTGCGCGCGTGTAACTCGAGGCGGGGTTAAAGTTCACTTCTATGGAGCCGTGAAGCGCCGCTCACTCCGCACACTTGGAAATGTAAAAGCAAGAAGCAGCTTTTATTTCATTCCCCCTTCTCTCTCTCCCTCTCTCTCTCCCTCTGTCTCTCCCTCTCTCTATCTATCTCTCTTTTTTCTTCTTCTTTTCATACACACGGACACGGCAATCAACTCGCACGCGGACACACATATAGCCTGCACACATACACACTCACATAACACACACATACATAAACACGCTGATTCGTTACAGTCATCCACACACACATACACAAACACTTTACAATTCAGCATACAAAAGACAACAGATATGTATTCTCCGCTATGCCTAACACAGGTAAGTGAGATTTTTAAAAAATCTCTGCTTTACTGTACTGTTGGTTGCATTTTCTGCTTTTGCCTGGGTGGGACTGCATGCATGGGGCTAAGGCAACATTGCTTAAGACTAAACTAAACTTTATGTGCAGCAACATAGCTGGTGTGACAGAGCAAAGTTAGCACATGGCGGATGGCGCCCACCTTCACACATGTGCACACACACTCCTGGGCTCATACTTTTCTCTTTTTTTAACGTTTACGCTCGTGAAGTCTCCGAAGAAGCGTTTTTGTACGGAAGCTCTGCCCAAAGCAGCGTAATAACGCCTTTATTGCCGAGCGTGCTCTCGCGTACAACCGCTCAAAGTTTTCGGTTTCGGTGTAGTTTTTCAGTTTCTTAGACCGCATATTGGAGTTTTTGTCGAGACCCGACGCTGCTTCGACTTCACTTCGTGTTCGCCGTGTTTGGCTCTTCGCTACGGCGTGTTGTAGCGAACGAGAACCGGGTTAAAGACGTACAAAATGGTGTCAGGGCTTTAAAAGTCAGGGAGTTTTCTATTGCTTTGAGAGATCTTTCAAGTCTCTGAGGTGCAGCCTTTCAGCTCCAGCCTAACTTTTGTAGCATAATGTGGCTACAATTCACCGTTTTGCCCACAGGCTAACCTTTCCTTGTATTACATGCAGTGGATAGTAACAATAAGGGGAAAAAACGATCTGCACATTTCTACATGGTCCAGAAAGTTAGTTTCATGTGAGGTCCTCCACGACTTGACTCTTTTTGCCTTTTCTTTTACTCCGAAGCTTACCAACCGCTCCCGGTCCAGGCTGTCGCTCCTTTGCTTCTGTTTCATATTTCTCAGACAGTGGCTGCTGATTTTTTGGTCCCTTACTGACAGGTTTAAACCCGTGTCATTCCTGTACTGGCAGGGAGTGTAAAACTCAGGGCTGGCGCTCTTGTGGGAGAAGATTTCTGTTCTTTTAAGATATAGATTATGAGATCTGAGGTCTCATGTATGGAACTTAACTTTGTGAGAGCAGAGGGATAGGGGGTGAGCTGAGGTAACAGGAAGGTTTAATTGTAAAAAAAAAAAAATCCAAATGAAGTTAATCTCATTCTGAAGGGATATGAGGCATTTAAGTGGGTTGGTGGAATTTGCTACATGGAGAAAAATAAAAAATATAGAAAAATATGAAAGACCTCTGAAAAGATTTTCTTCCAACTTCTTATGCGCAGGGTTAAAAGGTGATTTAGGCTTCTTGGGCGTTAGTTATAGTTTTCTGTTTGTAAAGCAAATTTTGTTTACAAGTTGTGGATTCACATTTGTAATTTCTCTGCAATAAATTTGTAAATTGGTCTCTAATAGTGGGGCTAGTAGGTAGACTAGGCCCTTTAACACAGTTTATGTTATTATGTCAGTACCTTTCCTAACATTTTTTTCTCCATTGATCTGATTTTGATGAATTGAACATATAATTTGTTTTGTAATGTTTTGCTTATTGAGTTTCTGAACTTATTAAGGAAGTTCATTCAGACATTTAGGATCAGTAATACTCTCAATTTTTTAGGACCTGTTTCACACATCAGGGTACAACTAAAATACGCTTGTAATTATTTATTAAAGAAACAGTATTTCTAGGTAAAAAAAAATGAAGACAAACAAGTGGATTGTTTTGTAATTGATTAATTAGTGGAGCACTTTTTATTCTGTTTAAAATTGATTTGTGTTTTTAAGTCACTTAAATGATTGTGCTTAAGGAACATATAGCTGTGTCGATTGGATCCTCAGAGGAGCATTGAACACACATTCAGTGCTGGCGTTGATCCCTGGTCTCTTTCGATTTGCTATCTAAATGTGTCATTTATTGTTCTTACATGTTTAAATCTACCTTACAGCTTGGCTTAGTTATCTTGAATTGACTTCTAATTATTTTAATTTTGGAAAATGAGTATAGGTTTGTGAGTATCTTTTTTCCTGCATTCTTGCTCAATTGTGGATTAGTTTCAGAAATTCACCATTATTTATGATTCAGTTGTCATTTTTTTTACTTAGAATATATACGTATATTTAGTTTGTATTATACTTTATTTCAAGGAACTTGTGTGCTCACAGGTGAACTCCAGCTGATAGTTAACACTTTTAACTCCTCTATCTGTCTGGGCCACAAGGCACTATTGTTCTGTACTGAGGCCCTGCGGTAGGACAGGGGAATCAGTTCAGTTCACTTCAGGAGTCTGAAGGAAAAAAAAAACCCTGACCTACTGACTACAACTTATATTATTGACTTTCAGTATGTAGTGTGTGTGAAAGAGCAAGGAACGATGCGCTGTATTGGGGCTGCTTCTCGCCCCTCCGACAGGAGAGCGCCATTAGCCGGCAGTTTCCCCTGAACACTGTTTACGTCGAAGGGGAGACTTGCAACAAAAGGGGAAAGTGAGTCCTGTCGACTCATAATTAGCTCTCTGTGATGTTGTGTTACAAGGGAGGCTCACTACAGAACAGCATAGCAATTTTTTTGTTTTTTAAAAGACAGTTTTAGTGAGTTGTCATGAGAGGCCTGTTCTTTGATGACTTTAGCTGTCACTATATACACCAAAGAAGTTAACAGTTAAGATGAGCTTGTTTTAGTTTTAACTGTAGATTTAATTTCCGCCAAATGTTTGATGTTGTTTGTATTTATAGTGCACTTTGGAAATTGGAATACACATGTAAGCATACTTTATGAGAAGTGTACTTATACACCCACACAGAAACACATTTCTCGAGAGAGCCCTTTCTGTAATTATCTAGAGAAAGGACACAAAATATATGTATATTTATATATATTATAGCAATAGATGATATCTGCCATTTAGGATAACATTTCATAGAATTTCATACTTGCATAATCGGTGAAGACGGAAGACAGAGAATTCATGCTTTGGATTTACTCCAGGACTAAACAGTGCAGTTTGCGTGCCTCAGAGACACGAAGAGGGAGTTGAATTCCAAAAAGGAACGTAAAGCGCATATTTTAACACATACATGGTTTTATTTCTGATAGAACCTAATTTCTGATTCATTTATTATAATCCTTCACATTAAGCATATCCTGTGCCTATTTGACAGCACATCTCTCTCTCCCCTTTTCTCTCTCTCTCTCACACACACAGAAACATACACATATCCTGCAGTGTACACTGACACAAATCTATCCAAAGATACATAAATCCCCCATATTCACTGAGTTGAAATAAATAGAAAATATAAATTGAAGTATAATATACCATGTCATGAAGTTTAAAACGATGTGGTTAGATCAATGACTTGATTAATATTACGAAATGTGGCAATTTGAATACTTTTACATGTATAGGTTTTGTGGCGAAATAAATGTAAAAAATAGTAATTAAGAAAAAAAAATCCATAATTTTGCCCTTTTAAGGCCATGATATGTTTTATGAAGGGCTTTTCATGTTAAAGTCTCTTTATAAAGAATACATTGTAAATCTGCCTTTAGTAATTGGCCTTTTGATTAAAAATGGATTGCAGAGGTTTACTGTTTTCAGCTGTTAACACAACCTGGCAATATTCAAATTAGTGTTGTATTTGAATGTATTTTGCACATATGACACTTTGCTTGCTTGCTGGCAAGCCCTTTGTGCTCACTGTGCTGGTTTTGGGGCTTGTATCAGGACTGTGCCCGTTTGTGGAAACATCATTTTACTGATTGGCAGGTTGCCATTGTTCTTTGAATTTAGTTTAATCCCTGTAGTTTTCTCTGTGTGAAATCCTAAATTGCTTAATATTAGGCTCACTTATTAGTTTTTTGCCTAGTTATTAGGGCTTTGTACCTTTGAGTTGTGAAGCTTCATATAAGTCTTCTGTAATTTCTGTCTAGCTGGGAACAGACCAGAGAAAGCCGTAAAGAAACGGACATTTTTTTCATTCAGTTGTGCATTGTATGCACAACAGAAGTTCAAACAGTAAAAGTGGCTTAGTGGTTGATAATATAGAGCTCCCTAAGTTAAAGTAACATGGTGGATTTAACCAGTGATTGTGTTTCCGTGGCAGTGGTGGTGTTCTGATAAGCCTTTGATTTCCCAATAATTCAGCTTTATTGGCAGCCTTTTTTGTTTAAGTATAGGTTGATGTTACTTGTCATAATAAGCATCATTGTAATAAGAAAAGGATTATAATTATATTGTGACAAGGAATAATTAGATTGTGACAAAAAGATAAAAGAAATGAAAAAAGATGAAAGAAAAGAAATGCAGGTGGTGTTTTTTTCTCTTGGTGAAATTTTGAATTTGGAATTGATTTTCTGCCAGGTTGTGTAATAGTGGCAGGTGGAGCTTGAATCCATTCGCATCCACTACCTTCTCCCTGCACACATTCCTAACTGAAAAATACCACGTTTCACCCTGATATTAAGTAAAGTATTATCAATGCTGTTTTCGGAACAGTGTGTGTGTATGTGTATGTTTTTGTGTGTTTTGTATATCTGTGTGTATGTATGCGCCTTTATAGAGAATAGATAAAAATAGCCAGTCCGATTTCCCTGCTCAGTTGTTTCTTTTTCTCGGTCCTGGCAGACCCCTACAGACCCGCATTCTTGCCAGAGAGCCAAGATACGGGCCTTACACACACACACACACACACACACACACACACACACACACACACACAGAGCCCTCGGCTCACAGGCCCACTCCTCCTTTTTGAGGGCTTCCCTGCTAAGGAAGCCCACAGACTTTTCATAAAAAATGTGAATTGATGTTGTTATATAAACCCATAATTACGTACATAATTACTAGTATATTATTATCCTTATGTAGATCATATTAAATTGTTTTCTGGTTTTATACAATAGATAGAGAAAATTATGTTCTGTAATTAAAATATGCTTAACGACTCCATATTTCACAAGCGTTTCAGCAATTATAGCCTTGCTTGTACCTACATGCTATGTGAATTTTGATTAGTTTCACTGTAACCGTATGTTCTGAAAGCTTGTAGCTTGTGCAGTTTTAACTGCCTCAACTCATTTTCCTTCTTTGGCCTGATTTCTTTCTGCGTCTTTTTCCACTCTCTTGCAGGATGAATTCCATCCTTTCATCGAAGCGCTGCTGCCCCATGTGCGAGCGTTTGCCTACACCTGGTTCAACCTGCAGGCTCGCAAGAGAAAGTACTTCAAAAAGCACGAGAAGCGCATGTCCAAAGAAGAGGAGCGGGCGGTGAAGGACGAGCTACTGGCCGAGAAGGCTGAGGTCAAGCAGAAGTGGGCATCGCGGCTGCTGGCCAAGCTCCGCAAGGACATCCGGCCCGAGTTCCGTGAGGATTTCGTGCTCACCGTGACGGGGAAGAAGCCACCATGCTGTGTGCTCTCCAACCCCGATCAGAAGGGCAAGATGAGAAGGATCGACTGCTTGCGCCAAGCGGACAAAGTGTGGCGCTTGGACCTGGTCATGGTGATTTTATTCAAAGGTATTCCGCTTGAAAGTACTGATGGCGAAAGGCTGGTTAAATCTCCACAGTGCTCGAACCCAGGGTTGTGCGTGCAGCCACATCACATAGGAGTTTCAGTAAAGGAGCTTGACCTGTACTTGGCCTACTTTGTACATGCAGGTAAGTCCTTTTTTGTGTTGACTAATTCCCTAGGCACAATGTGGTCAAAGTATACTAGTAATGCCACTATATCCGTTTGAGGGTTACACATTATATAGGCCAGATATACTATACCATAGGATTAAGGTAGTGTCAGGTGGTATGTCAGTCTCATTTAGTTTCTGAAAGGTTTGGCTTGGTCATACAGTTCTAGGAAAATCCTTTAATTTGCATTATGTGCAGCTTCTTCAAACTTGAAAAAAAAATATTCTTAACATTCACATATCTCATTTACAAAAATGTTTCTCTGAGGAACCATCCTTTGAAAGGTGGTTCGTCAATGGCATCACTCCAAAAAACCCTTTTTGGCAGCCTTATTTTTAATCTGCCTTGTATAACATGCCCAGTCAAAACAAAACTCCACCGCCATCCCACTCATGGTCTCATATACAGTCTTGAATCCTGTCAGCAGCAGACACCCTAAATTTAACAAGGATTCAATAAAGTGGTAGTATACTGTGAAAAACATGACAATTTTGTCACATGCCTATCTCATGCTGCTCAGTCATTCCATTGAGCAGCCCAGATTTGATCAACACTGGCACAGACACAACTGAGGCTCTTACTGCAGAATATGCCCATCTCTATCTCTGTCTGCCCATGTACATGTTTCTCACTTTGTGCGAAACATGCACTGTCAAACAGTTGGCACTGACAGAGTAAAGTTTTGAAGAGTATTGAGAGGCAAAGGGATGAGCTTATTGTGTGCAAAAATGTATTCTTTTCACTATTTCATGTAGACGCTTGTGAATGTTGTTCTACTACTTTCCAAATCTGGCTAATTAATATCTTAACATAATTTGAGTCAGACATACATGCATATTATTTTTCATAGATTTATATATTTGTTGGAAAAAGGGCATATGGCAGTAACCTTATTCCTGAACAAATTTGCTAGCACCAAAACTCCAACTAAGTTGACTCTTGTCATTTTGGTTTAGCCTATGCATGAAGCTTTCAAACAGAGAAGTCCAGTGTAAATATCTAATGGAGAGACTGTTAATTGGCAAGAGGCAGCAGGGGATCTGTCTTGTACTGACAGCAACACAAACACAGGCTTTCACTTGGAAGGCAAGGAAAGCGCTTTGTTTCACCAGGCAAACTGAGCACCTTAATTACTTTCATTTCCTCCTGCTCGCAAATTGTTGCTCTAAAGCCTAAGTGAGTTGGCCGCATATGTCCGTTTTATTGGTGCGAGGAAGGAAACTCGTCTGCCCCCCCAACACTTCCCAACCCAACGTTTCTGTGTGGACCCAGCTTCTACTTTGATGAGGTATTGACGAAAGTATAAAAATTTTGTTCAACTCGTGGTCAAAGCAGATGAAATAAAACTGTAAACATGCCCCTTTAGGACTGAACACGAAAGTGATGTTTTGAACGTGGCTACACGCAGGCTGTGCTTTGGTTGTTGCAGGTCGGAAAAGGGGGAGCATGTGAATCACTTTGACTTGGTTGGAGCACAAAAGACCAGAGCCTTTGAGGGTCCTTTGTGTTAGAATCAGTACGAGCGCCACACACTGCGGCTAAAGCTCATTTCTTTACAGCCTAGCCGAATCCTCAGTTTTGATGTTCTGAAAGGCCATTCAGAAAGCTTCTGCTCCTGCTAACATCCTAATTGCTGTAGTCCTGATATTTTCTCGTAGGATGTGACTGTGAATAAGAGGTACAAGAGAACAAGAGCGAGTAAAGCGAAAAAGAGACGAGTGTTGTAGAGTGAGGAACTTGGCTAGTTTTAATGGTCTGCTTTTGCTCTCTCCCTCTCCCTCTCTCCCTCTCTCTGTTGCTCTCTCTCTCTCTTTCCCCCCATCCTGGGCCGCATACAGACCGATCAGGTTTCCTCCTCTGTCTTATTTAAAGCAGTGGAGCAATGCTGAAGCTGCTGCGATTAAAAGCCATCTGAAGAGAGGCTGACCTCATGCTCAGATGGCCAAAGTAGAGGGTTTTAAGGACGCATAGAGTCAGTAATTAAAGTTATTACCACGGCCATATTGATCCACTAATCGACAACGCTCAATTTTTTTTAAATGATAGTTTACTTCAGTTTTACGATGACATGCACCTCACATACTTTGTGTTTGTTACATTTGACAGTTTAAAGGCCAAAGCTTAGCGTTGCTGAGTTTTATTCAGCTACTTTTTGCATTTGTAAAAGTTAATGTTTTTTTATTCTCTTCATGCCTTCTCTGTAAAGTCACACTTCAAACAGACCCACATTCTGATATTGAGCGGCGTTTATTGTTGATCATACGCTCCTGTTACATCACATTGGAGAAAGTGAGACACATTCACCCAGCTGGGGTCTGTTCTGTGGTGGGGGAGCAGGCCGCAAAGCCCAGGCTAATTTATGGCTGGCGGGCGTCAGACTCACCGGAGCACGCCGCACATGGGATAGGTCATGGCTTAAGATGTTAGGGCCATGACCCTATCTTCAAGGCATTTGACCTCTTAGATAAACAGCCACTCTCATTAGCAGCCAGTCAAGCGGAGGGCGGTGCTTTGGTTCTAGTTTGTCCTTTGACCTCTAGTTAAAACAGGTGGTTTTGTTTGGGTGCTGGAATGGAGTGCAGGCTGGCTTTAAACCTTGTAAAAGGGGGGCAAAATAGCCTTGGACATGCAGGCTAAAGTTTCAACTGGTAACTGTTTCCTATTTTAAGAGTCTGCTTTATCGAGGTAGACAAGACTACTTATGTCACGTTTTGAGCAACAAGACTGCGTTTATTAGGTCAGTATTATGATATTATAAGCCCAGAATGTTGAATTGACAGCTTGTGATAAAAATGAGAAATATTTTTAAAAATGTATTTGTTCCTCTACTATTTAAAATTTTATTGCCTGATAAGAATAGTCATGCTTCTCGTTGTTTGATTTAACTGTAGGTCAAGTTCAAGTATTGGCTTGTATATGGAGGCATGAACTAGTAAAAGTTTCAAAGCATTGTTGTACTGTGTTTAGTTGCAAGGAAGTCCCAAGAACTTAAAAGGCAGGTATTATTTCTGCTGACTAAAATCTTTGAAAAAGAACAAATAATTATAAAGAAAAGAAGACTTCTCAGCATAATAACATAAAGAACGCTTCATTCTGCGTCTAATCACAAACGCTTGTTTCTTATCCCAAAACCCTGCGAAAATATCTCAGTAGTGAAAGTTAGACACAATCTAGCTTGTTTATTGAACTGTATTTTCATTTGATTCGGGTCTGTTTTCACCCGGGAAAACACAATGGAAGGATACTGCTGTTTTAGAAAGATAACATGCCCCGGTCTGGACATATATGTACATTTAGAGGGAAGCCGATAGATATTTATATTGCTCTTACCTTATCTGACCTGAGGGCTAGTCGAGATGAACTGTTTGCGTGTTGAATGACTGCAAAGACGTCTGACCCACTTCCCTCTGAGCTCTTAAAGAGATTTGCTGTGTGTGTCTTTCTAAACTAGTTAAGTTTGATGACGCATTCCTCAAGGCGCACTGAGTTCAAGTTCTGTCAGAACATAAAGTTTGTTTTAATTCTGACTGCACACCTCAGTTGCATGATGCATGTGGTTGAATGTGGTCATTGTGAGTTAATCCAATGAACCCTTCACTGTCAGAAGAAAAAGAGCACTGTACAGGTACATTTTTGTTCATCAAAGTACGTGCAGTATAAAGGTACCCTCAAAGGCACAACAATTGTCTTGAGGTCCAGTTGTGTACCTTAAATAAGTTTAAAGTACACTACATTCACTTTCCTAGAGGAAAGGTGCATATTTGACCACTATGAAACTAATCTGTAAGTTTTGTAGTTATGAGAGTGAGGAATTGAAGTTTGGGCCCACATGTAGGCTCTTAGTTAAAGGCTTAAGGCGCTAAACACCTTTAACTGTAATTTAACTGAATTTAAAGATGAAAAAATATGGATGAGCAAAAACATCATAATATTGAAAGACATTTTACACTGAAAAGGTACGCAATATTTAGTTTTCTAATGTTTGCAGGCAAGCTGGAATGGACATAATCCACCACCAAACAGTGGTGCCAAATTTTACAGAGGCTATGAAAACCCATTTTTTAAGTTCAGTATTTGCAAAAACTAACGCAAAGAAGAATCTTACAACTGTTAAAAATGAGTTAGTAAGACAATGACATTCAATTTGCTGCTTGTTCCTGTGCAATTTATATAGTTACTATACACTGGTCGTTGTTTAGAGGCTCTCTGTAAATGGTCAAATGATATGGTGTTAAGTGTTTTAGAAAAAAAATGCTCAGAAATAAAACTTAGAAAATAATTTTGTGATGTAACTTATTAAGATAACCATAACATTTTGTCATATTGACAACCCCTATATGAAAAAAATGGAAAGCGTTGCTAATAAGGTACCACAGCTCTTATAATGCAAAGCCACGCTGTCTATTGTCTTGTTTTCTGAACGTAGCAGGATCCACTAGTATCTCCTGGCTGACTTTTGGCACGTATTGAGTTGCAGCCGTTTTGTGTTTCCCTTTCTTTCCACAGGCGGAGGAATAACAATAATTTGGATCTATTTAAGGCTATTGTGGGATGAACCACAGCCTTTGTTGTGGTTACTGCTGTACACATTGTGGGTAGGGACCCCCCACCCTCACTCCACTCCACTCAATTCACTCTCTCATTTTCTCCTCCCTAAATGCCACCAACCAGCACTGGTACTGCAACAACGGCCATGCCATTGCGCTTCTCCACATGCACACACACATACACACACACACGCTCACACATTACCATTCATTACAAATGAGGTTGGTGCCCATTCATAAAAATAAATTGTCGTGCTTTTGAGGTGAGCTCACAGTAAGTTGCTGTACAGTGAAAGTGCAGTGTTCACACTGCTGTTCAGATCCTCCGGCCTAGCCCGGGCCCAGTGTTAAAGGACCAGCCGTGATCAAGTGATGGGATACAGTGCCGTCACTTTTAATATCATTGCACGTGACCTCCTTTTGAACCAT